ATTTTAATTTTTTGTTTTAATCTTTATAAATAAATTAAAAAAATAAATATCTTGAGATTATTATTTATATATATTAGACAAAGAATGCAGCAAACCCTTCAAGCTTGTACTGCTGCTGCGGCTACCTGAGTCGAGGGGTTTTGCGTGAACGCCTTTTCTTTAGATTCTTTTTGTTTTTGTTTATTTGTTTTATCTGTTTTTCTTATGCTTTATTGGTTTATTATATGGTTTGCACTGAGAGTTGAGTTTCTCTATCTATTTGCGGGTCTTGCGGTGTATAGGCAGCTAGTAAAGAATGAAGAGCTTCCTTCTTCTTGTTTTTCTTTACGGCTGGGGAGGGAAGGGGAGCTGCTTCGGGTGTACAGGCACCTGCTCTATCTGTGTTGCTGCAGCTCTCTTGCTGCTGTTGCTGCTGCTGCTTTTGCTGCAGTCTAGCAGCAGCAGCAAAGCAGGAGAGGGGCCCCTTGGCGAGTTGAGGGGGCCCCCAGTCGTTTGTTACGCAGCATCTGTCTGTACACCCCAGACGAATGAACTCCTCCTCCCACTTGCTCTACAGTCTTAGGGTTTAGGGTTTAGGCTTGAAGCCCCCTAAACAGCAAACGAAAACACTAAAGAGCGAAGAGCAGCAAATGAATGCTGCGCCAAACTTTCTTCGTCAACTCACTAACAAACCCAACGTGTGTTTATATAGATATATATATATATATATAAACACGCAGCAAGGACATATACATAATATATATATATATATATATAATATATACATATATATAAGCATATATATATTATATACCAACAAGAATGGGTTTATATGTAATTATACATTCCTATCCACATAAATTATGTATGAATTATATATAACGTACATACATATATATATTCATTACATATATATATATATATATATATACATATATATGTGCATTTGTGGGTGTATATATATATATATATATATATATGCATTTCATGCATATGTATATACATTAAATATAATACATTATATACAATTCATATATATTTTGAATACGAATGTGTAAATACACACAATAAACGCCTGTTGGATGTCTGTCTATAAACCAGCAGATACGAGAGCAGCAGCACTCACCTCCGAAGTGTACAGACAGCTACGATTCTAAGAAAGACAAAGAGACACACCCGCCCTATGCTTCTTCTTTAGCTGTCTCCTCTTCCTTTATATGTGTCCCCTTCTGACTCCCTGCCTATGCTGCTCTTGCTGCTGCTGCTGCTGCTGCTGCTGCTGTTGCTAATGCTGCGCTAGGTGTCTGTACACTTGAACTGTGGTGCATGCCCCTACAAGACATAGAATGAGAGAAAGAGACCCTAAAGGTATTTGTTTCTCTCCCGTCTTTGCTGTCTGTACAGCAGAAACGAAGCCTGCGCCCCCTTAAAGGCAAACGAGCTGTCTCCTCTCCAGCCCACTACATCATTTAGAGTGTACGGGCATACTGAGCACACACAAGGGGGTCTGTTGTGTATTTATTTCGTTTGCTTTAGTTTTCCTTTTCTGCTGCACTCGGCTATCTGAGGTGTGCATAAAACCCCAGGCAGCAGCCACTGCAACAAGAGCAGCAGCACGTGCAGCAGCAAGAGCAGCAGCGGCTCTGGCCGAAGCGCCTTTCATTTAAACTACGTATGGTTAAAAGAAGCAACCCGACAAAACAAAGATGCCATGCAGAAAGCAGGCAATGCGACGCATGAAGTGAAGTGTATGTATGTCTGCATGCATGCATTACGCATGCATATACACTCATCTAGTGTATTCATAATGCATGCACATAAATGCATGCATTATGAATACACTAGAACATGCATGCATGCATGCATGCATGCATATATACACATGCATGCATGCAAGGAATTACAATATAGTAGACGATAGTAGGCTATACCCACGACAAAGAATGCAGGCAAGCCCGACAAAGTTATATTTCTCTACAAGTATGGATTGAACCTCTCCGTCATCTTGTCGACGTATCCAGTTACTACAATATCTAAGTATGATTTTAATGCACCAGGGACAGGATCAGAGAAGGTAATACCATAAGCTGCCAGCGTATCTGTTGCAGACCTCCTGGTCACCTCTTTAAGCTTATCCTTCCACTCATGCATCTTTACGCGCAGGTGAAGATCCTCCTCGGGCCCTAAACTAGGTTCATCCATCCGTGCTGCAAGCTTATCCATCTCTTCCAGTATCTTCGCTGACTCCTTCTCTCCTCCTATTACTGCATCTATCGCTGCAATAACACTATCTGCTGCCGATGTGTCGGGGTGCATGCTCTTGATCACCAGCTTTATGAACTTCCCTGCTTCATCAAGCTTCTCCCCCATATCGGTTCCTGCAGAACCTAAGAATTCAAATAGCCGCCCTACTGCTTGAAGCCCTTCACCAGCATCACGGCCAGCGCTACTTCCTGTTTCATCACCAACTACTTGATTGCCTAGAGCCCCAGAAGCAGCAAACAATAACCCGACCACAGGAAATGCTAATGCACGCATTATCTTCATCTTGATAATCAATTTAAAAAAAAAGAGATGACACCAGCAAACTTGAACTCGATGATGCACAGATGCTACCAACGA